AAACTCCTGTATCAAGGATGAGATGTGTTACAATACATTCCAGTTCTCAGGTAAGCATCCTACCAAACAGGCAGCAAAATGTCCTGGCTGTGACCTCCCTCCTTCGCTCCCTTCCTCCCTCCCTCCCAAAGCATTTCCACTTCAAGCAGCATATTTAACTATTTAGCAGTGATTTAAGGTAAACTTTGAGGAGATGAGACCCAAGTTTCTGTCCTCGCTCCCATGACTGCCGAGACACATCCACACAACAGAACGCGTCAGCGGGAGAGACCAAGGATATCTCATGCCAAAATGCCTTATGGTTTGGTAGGTAGGGTACTGGTCTAGGAAGCAGGAGGGGTTTCCCAGGAAGAGGTAACTGAATGTGGTCTCCAGCTTCCTCGAGCTCTCTAACCCAGAGGCATTAGCTGGCAGACAGTCCAACAGCTGAACTGGCTTGTGGGATTTATTCCGCAACTTCACCCCATTTTCAAGCACTGCATTTCCTCTTTTTCACAGATCAGCAACAGCGTACGCTGTGGTGCTCTATTCTAGGTAGCTGTGAAAAAAAGAAGACAGGCAAAACAAAAGCAGGGAGGTAGGAACAGGCAGCGCACTGAGAAACTGGGGGCACAGAGGTCAGGGGACAAGAGAAGAGGGTGAGGGAGGCGGAGGACTTCTGGGTGCTGAGCCCATGAACTAGTCGAATCTGTTAACGCTGTATCGGTTTACCCAAGATAGAAACTAGAGCCAGCTTGGGTCCAGCAAGATTTCTTAGTTAAAGCACAGCACCGCTTGTGCTAGGGTTGGCCATGCTGTTTCCAGTCCGGTGTGCAAGCACCAAAGCCCACATTAAGTCTCTGCACCACGTCCCTCAGCACTCCAAGATGTAGATGGCCTCTTAGCTTGAAGGTGGGGCCAAACCCCATCGAGGCTTCAGGCTGCGCTGGATCAGCACTGGATGCTTTGTGCGAACCCACCCCACAATTATCTTAATTAAAATTGGCTTCCAGTCTTACAGGTCCTGATGAATGTCAGCTGTCTCAGTAGTTCAGAACCCACCACCCGCTTCCCAAATTGCCCCAAAATAACAAACGTCAGCTTTTCCATTTGTCCCAGTACTGGGACATCACCACATTGCATCAGACCTGCTTCCCAATCAGACAAGGGAAAAACAGTTCTTTAAGCTGATGGTTCCTGTCTAATTTTTGAACTATAATACAAAAGACAAGGGAGGATGAAACCTCCTATGCTTGGCTGATTTGATTCTAGTCCTTCTCCCCCACCACCCACCTGCCCCATGAACAGCCCTGGGGTGACCAAAACCCACATTTTATTTTATCATCAATCTCCCTTCCAAAATATCACCTCGTTCTAGTCGTGCTGAATTTGGGTGAACATTATCTTTTTCCACTATTGCCTACAGACCGCACACGGGCAGCTGCATGCTACAGAATTTTGATTTTAAAGTAATTCTTTGAGATTTCCAACAATTTTCAAAAGGTTAGGAGGAGGTATGACCGATGCTTCTTGACATTACCGTATGCTACGTATGTTATGAAATGTGCACAGGCACCATTTTTGAATTTCAGTATTGACTTCTGCATTTTACTCTGTATGCATCCCCCTTTCTTAAGACCTCATGACAAATGCACTTGAATCTAGGAGGCAGCTGTCTTTAACTGCAATATTTTAATTTTCAGTCTGGCTGCTGAAACAGTAACAGCCTTCAAAGATTTAGCCAAATTCCCGCCTCTTAAAATTCAGTAATAAGATCGCACTGGTTTTGACCAACCAGTCATCTCACTTTAAATTAAAACTTATTGCCCAATGCGGCTTTAACTAAAAAGAAATAATTCAGAAAGTGGACTATCCCATTAAGATAATACAAAACAAATAGATGATTTATTAGCAAGCTCTCCCAAAACTCATTATATTTAGTAAACTTTCAACAGCTGTTTGCTAGAGGGATACGTGGCATGCCTTAGTCAATCATTTAGCTTAGTATTCAATTTTGAAAAGTGACTGATAATAACTGTTTGAGGGGAAAAAAAAGATACAAGCCTGTAAAAGGCAAAGGTAGGATAACCTGGTCACTAGAGTGATTTTATCATGAACTTCACCAAGCAAGATTAGCTATGGCCAGAGAAACATAAAGTTGCTTTTCTTGCACCTTTACATACAACCGAGCACTCCTGCAATTTACCTAAGCGTTGCCCCATCTTTCCCTGGATGGAGCCTGTTCCCTGGTTCCGTTAGCACACAGTGCAAATGAGTTCCGCGGACCAATTGCGCCTTCTGTGAAAAGGCCTTTCCCTGTGCTAGGTTCGTGTTTTCCACCTTCCAGTCAAGTTCTTCAGCTATACGATAAAAAGCATAGAAATGCTGGCTCAGCCTTTCATTAATTTACATATTTCTAACACTTTCCTTCTTAATCATCTGCTTTCTAAAAATGGATGTTCTAGTTTTTTTTCCCCGAAAAAATGCTCTTCAAAAAAAAATTTCTTCAATTTTTATTTCGCCCTTCTCTGAATCTTCTTAGCCTGCATTAGTTTTTCTCAGAGGGTAATAGTAACTTTGAAATCATTCCAGAGAAGGACTTGCCACCATAAACACAGTTTCATGCTCCATTCCGTTCTCGATAATCCCATTCGTTTGACCATAACTTTATAGAGCATTCCCTTACGTACAGTGATATACAAGACTCTCTTCTGAGCTGACACAGATGAAATCTCAGGTATTTGCAAGAAAAGCTGCGTTCATTTGTCTCAGTGCTTTATGTTTATCGAAGTCTGCCACTCCATCATCTCCTCACCCCGTCAGTTCTAGCTGTAGCTCCTGGTAGCATCCCCTCTACCTCACCAACCTAAGGAACTGCATCGAAGAGTTTAGCAAACACTGCTGTGCCAGCAGTCATTCTTCTCCTCAGTTCATGAATGCATTACCTAAGGCCAATCCTAATACAAACCACCAATGTTCACCTTTTCAGTTACACCATTTCTCCTCATTTTTTGGTCCCTCAGACAGTTTCACATCTACCACAACATTACGCTTCTTATTCCAAAGGCTTCAAAAAATAAAATAATAATTAAAACCCCAAATGTATTTAACTCGATCAGTTCTTTGCCTTACCGAGAATCTCAGACAATAGTAACAGAATAGCGGAACAACCTTCCTCTGCAGAAATCGGTCTTGCATACTACTATGTAAGTTGGGGGTTTTTTTTAGTTCTACTTTTAACTATGAAGTATATTCCTTGGTCACATGAGCAGCCTTTTTAGCAAGCACGCTAGAAGATGCTTCCTTGAAATCCTTTCAGAGAGTAGACTCTCTTTAAAAACGCAGGTTTACGGGTTCATGCTACTGAGGTGGTCACTTAATTCCTAAAGCCCGTCAGAACGCCCGTGTTCATTCCGGTCAGGGTGGGTGACTCATGTCAGTTGGCTTCAGCAACTCTTCTGACACGCCAAAAATCCATTAGCTTCATCAGCAGAAGAGAGCTGACTGGTTGCCTTCCCACTATCCTTTGGACTGAACACTGAGGCAAAGAAACTTTCACGTTTTAACATTTTCATCCGTCTTAATTTTTCTTTAAATCCCAGATGACCCAGAACGCACACTCCTCCTTGGGCTTCCCATTTCCAATAAATGGCAACAATTGTGAACGTCTAAAGCCATGTAAACACCTTAAAACAAAATGTTTAGGATGCTAACATGTTATTTGTGGCCACTTACATTCCTTGGGTTTGGGGGTTTGGTTGGGTTGGGTTTGGTTTGGGGCGGGGAGAGATGTTAAGTTTTATTTTCAGAAGTCTTTAGCTTAACTAAACCCTTAGACTTCACAGATAGGCACGACGTGCTTTGTAACTTACTCACCTTGGCCGGAAGCACACATGTACGAAGTCAACGTGTAATACAGATCTCTGAAGTCCACAGATGCACTGATCTAAATATATACTGGGTTACTATGTCGAATGCCTTTCACGTACAGCCCAGTGGATGGGTGTTCGTCCCATCTGTACATCGGAAGCGCACATCCATCCATCTGACGCTACTGAATCACTATTGCTGTTCAGACATGCGAACAACCACCCAACAGAACCTGCGCGAGAGAGACTCCTTCTCACATTAACTGGCTGGTACAGTACAAAACAGCACCATCGGGGCAGAGCAAGCCGTCCTTCTGGGGTAGACATTTCTAAAAGGTTCACAAGTTTGAAATGCAGAAAAACGCATTAAGCATTTGTTTGGATTCGCAACTTCTTCAGAATAACCTAGTAACAAATTACCAAAACCACCTTAAAAACCTACTCGAGAATAAATTTTCCAGCCCATGCAGAGTTATGCCTCCAATCTCCTCTAGAATCCGCTTCCTGCTTTGATCTGTCAAAGGCGGAGGCAGCAAACACATCGAGCAGGTTAAGCCCCATTTGCTTTCCCAGACTTCAGAAAAAGCAGGCGCTCTTCCAATAAGCTAACTGAAGCCGATCTGCACCTCGTTTTTCCATAGCCGACACCCTAGACGGCAAAAGTCAAATTAAGTGACAACTGTAAAAAAACCCTACGTCTAAGTGGGGGAGAACGCAGTGGCAATAGAGGTGAATAGGAAAGTGAGCATCATTTCCAGCTAAAACGGACTGCAAGAGCAGCCTTCAGTTCATTCAAGGCACGCTGTACCGACATCCCACCCAGCCCTGCAAAGTACTGGCCCTGGCAGAGCGCTCGGAGAGAAGCCTCGTCTCTTCATCGCACCAACTACTGAGGTCTGAAACGACCTCCGTGGTTTACTGAGTGTAAAACAATTAGGCATCAGATCACTGTGGAGTCTGCGCTTGCAATGATTACCTGTGTACTGCAGTTTTACCAATGAGTCTATGCACGTCTACACATCTGGGAAAAATAACATATATACATTTACTTAGCGCACAAATATCACAAGTATCTCTCTAAATATTTGTACCGGATGCCTGCAGGCTATAAACAGGAGACTTTCTGATTTTCTATGTACACAAAGGCCAGAGTCAAAGCTAATTTTCACCTTTAATAAGCTCATGATTCTTTGTTATTTAGTACTCTGTAAAAAGGTATTACAGATGGAGAGATTATTGCAGTGACTTCTAAAGAACATGGACAGCCATGAGGCTGCAACTACAATATCATATACATTACGTAGTCATTGATACTATCTACTACAGCATGAAGAAAAATACTTTTAAAATAAACAATCTGTTAGGGAAAACATAGAAATGGAGCTTGCTTTCTTACAGTATGGTTACATATCTATATTCCAAGAATAACATTTTAAAAAATGCTAGATCTTGAAAGGTCATAGATAAAAAGAGTCATGATGAAGATGAACCAGTTTTGCCCAGAAATGCTATAATGAGCACACTGCACAGTTTTTCAGCAAATCCTAGTTTTGCCAAGCTTCGAGAGGCAAAAGCCTGAAATGTAAAAAGCTTCCAAATTGTCTAGCTAGTCCGCTCGTCCTGCTTTGGAGGGCTCGGCGACCCACGCTGCTTCAAGACAGCGTGTCACCACAACTGTTCTTTGCTGACATGAATGCCATCGGGAAGAGACTGTTGAGGTCCTTATGACGCCAGGCCTAACAAAAAGCCTCCAACAAATCCACTGGACACCACGATGTTCTGTTTGATAAATTCTGTTGACTGAGAAGAAAAATAATATTCGTAAAGAACCGAGTCAGTTGTGTCTGATTGTAACATTTAACACTTACCACAACTGCCTGGAAACAAGAATACTAAGATTATGGAGGGGGGGAAGCAACGTGTTTAAAAACGTATAAAGCTAGGTGGCAGCTGCTGGCACCAATGGAGTGAAAACTGACTCTCAGCTGTCTTTAACAGTATGTTTAAAATACAGTCAGCATTTTAAAAGTCAAAATACAGAGGAATTGTCATAGCAATTTCATGCCAATACCACTCTTGTTTTAATGAAAACAAGACAGATGTTTTACAAACTCCCTTGGCAAAAAAGCATGAGCACTACCATCGCTTCAATTTTAATCACATGAAAAAACTTTAAAAAAAAATACTAGTGTGTTTTTTGGAACGCTAGATCATTGAAAAAGAAATACACTTCACTCCATTACGAGCCGGTTTCCTAACAACCTAATGCTACAAAAAACACTTATGTATGACGACATTTGTATACAATATTTCATTAAGTAATACCACAGAGCATAACATGTTATATCAAACATGTGCCATTTCATAAATCCTTCACTTCAAACACTGCAGATATGTTACTTTCTAATTGTGCAATAGTAACCAAATCTGGGGGGAAAAAAAGGTAAAAGAAAAAAAAAAGGAAGCAACCAAAAACCCCCATCCTGTCCCACCCATTTCTGCAGGGTGATGGAGAAGGACAGGTTAAGCTATCTGGGGTATAGAAGAAGCTAGAAAACCACCTCTCTTGAACTTCCACTTCACATTCGCGTTAAAATTTAAGGCAATCGTTACCAACGTATGTGCAACTCCATACAGGTTAAATCTGAGACGTCAAAACTCTTAATTACAGAGCACCAGCGTGGCTGCTGTTACATTGTCTGCAACATATTCCAAGTCAGGATTCACAATTACTGAGAAAGAAACTTAGATATTTTCCAATTTCATACGAACTATGTAAAACAAGGCTAAACATACTTTTGTTTTTAAAGATAAAACAATTAAATAAAAGTCTTCAAATGACAGAATGAAATAGCCTCAGTGACACTGATCAGTATCACAGGCTACCTCTTTTCAACATAGTATGTAACTGACAGATTCTGAAAACAGATATTCTTCAAACTGTATAAAAATGAGATAAAAACCACAGCTGTAGGTACGAAGTGGTTATAGCTTTTCTTCAGAAAGGTTGGTCAGTCTTTTCCAACCAAGTACTTTAGTTATCAGCAGACTAAGAAGATTTGGGTTTTGTCTTTGTAGCTGCCACGTTTTAACCACAACACCCTCAACTTTTTACCGTGTCACAACCTTCCTGCTTTCTCACTAGCCAAGAATCTGCACAGCCCAAATGGCAAAGCCAATGGCAGCCCCTAAGCCGTACCAGCTGCAGAAATGCATTAACTTTGAAGTTTGTGTGTCATCTTTAAGAGTGAACAAAAGCGAAAGCTAAATGAATAAGAGAGTACAATCTGATGACTTTTAATAAAACATACAGCCAGACCATTTCTGATGCCTTCCAGTTTTGCACCTCCATTTACAACTAATCATCACCTGCAGTGGACGGTAAGAAAAACTGGCTGGTAGAAAACGGTTTATCACCTTAGACTTACCTCTTCAATTAGGGTATTGATTTCGGGTGCTGCCTTATTTGCACGCTTTTTTAACTGTTTTTTTGCTTTGTTTACATCTTTTTCAACTCTCTTCCAGTCAACTTGTACGTATCCACTATGACTAGCAATCTAGGAAAATAAAGTGTATTTAGTACAGTTGTAGTTAACATTTTATGAGTCAAAATACAGTATCTTAGTGCCTACACATTTTTTTTTATTTTTTCTTTTTTAATTACAGATACAGGAAAAGACATTGTGCCAAATACAGCAGGTACTCTGCTTTAAACACTAGTATTTTCCACAGTAACAACAATTCCAATTAGAACAAGCAATGACAAAGTTTGGTAGACTACTGTTAATTTTACCACTTCTCTATTGTTTAGTTGTAAAAGCTTTAAATAACAGTATTTTTCCTTCAGCATTTACTGTAACTTGTAAGAAAAGGAAAGAGAAAAGCATGTTCATAGGACAACAATGAAAAAACTGTTTCATTTCAGCTTCTTTCAGAATTGTAGAATTCTGATTTGTGACAGGATATTTGGGACTAATCAGAATCACCCCTAGAAATACTGAAAATTATTATTTTATCCTACATCATTTAAACTGTCCAAGAAAATTCTCATACTTTCTACAAAACCAACAAGTAGAAAAATAACACAGCCCGTGTACAGCACAAGTTCTGTAACATCAGCAAAATGGATAAGTTCTGGGGGATTGTTCACACCAATTTACACTCAAACTCCCAAAACGCTTAAACAACATCCATGAGGTTTTTAGCACGTTTAACCGTCATCCCAACCCCTTGCCTTGTTTCTCTTACTAAGATTTTATCCTGGAAAAAAATAAGATGTTCTGTTACTTGGCCAACACTGACAGTCCCACCAATTTCCTTAAGACAAGTCACAAAAGAAATACATATTTAAATGTTTTTAAAATAATAGCTTAAAAAAAAAAGTCAGGCAATTACTGCATGCTCTAGAGAACAGTTAAAACAAAACTCATTAGTTGGAAAAAAAGAGAGGAAGAATCAAAACTAAGGATTACTGCTTTTATTAACAGCTAAAACAAATAGATACAGACCGCTAAATTTAAAGGTAAATGACTGTTATACAAAAAACAGTTTATGAAGAATAGTATTTCTCAGATCCTTCTTAAGGTCACGTTTGGCAAATTCATGTAACTTATGTAAGAGCCTTCTATGCAAACGGTACAATTGGTAAATAACATTCACAGGTAATGCGGTTTTGTGGAACAGATATTTAAATATACAATTTATTCGGTATGGCATAAAAAGAAATGTTTGACATCGCTTACAGGCACTGAATTTTATTTTTCATGGATTCTTTCTACCAAATAACTAAAATTAGACCATCTAACTGGTTTTAAAACAGCAAAAATAATTAAGCAACATATTTCACCACAAATAAGAATTTCATCATCCTGAAAAAAAAAAAATTAAAATGAAGCGTCAGACAGATTGTCTAAATTAAAATTCATAAATGAAGCTCCTAAAAGACCACCTATGTAAAAAAGTAAACTTAAGTTTCCATCTTTGAACAAGATTTAAAAAAAAAAAACAGTTCACTGGACAAATGCAAAATGAACTTACTAAATATTATACTCTCCTTTACTTCATACCTCAGAATATAACAAATTCATTGACCTTGCCTGTCTTGTAAAACCACTTATCCACACAGGCACTAGTGTTAGGCAGGGATAGCTAATTAAGGACTGTCTATACAGTATGAAAATATGAACAAGTCACTGGATGACATACCAGGGAAAAAAAAATGTTGCGCGTTGGGGTAATTTTTATAATATAAATTTAACATTACCACAAGAATTTCAAAAAGGCCCGAGTGTTGAATTGGTGCCTTCCAACTCATAAAACTGAAAACTAAATATGGACTGATCTACCCAGTCCAACACAATGTAAGAAATACTAATACCTTTGCTTGCTTGAAAGTAAAAAAATAGATATATAAAAACAAATGGGACTTTAAGAGAAACATTTCATTAAGACTAGTTCAATTAGCTCAGTTATCCATACAGTACAAGGATGAGGCAGAAGTTTTTAATTAAGTTCTGTTTAGCTCTCCAGTAGTTACAGCTTACATTTGTATCAAAACTCCAGTTTACACAATAAAAATTATACTACTTTTCTCCCTGAACTTAGTAGCAGAAATCTTAAGTTCTGCTTTTGAGCTTTTGTACACATCTATGAAATAAGAGAGAGAGGGCAATGTTTTGAATATAAAATCTATAACTGAGAAGAAAAAAAAAGAAA